CATGAATTGAAGTTCAATTTTCATAAGAGGAAATATTTAAAACATTTGATTAATAACCCAATTTAATGATAACAAAAGTGGATAAATTCATTCACGCCCCAAAGGTAAAACCCGTCCTTGATCCAAAAATCGTTAACATTGGATTCAACTCGATAAAGCAGGGTAAAATGTGTTCTCGACTCAATTCCGTGCTTACAAAAGGGGATAAAATACATTCATGACCCCAAAGTGTCATGGGTAAAACTTGTCATCGATCAAAATTCGTCAACACTGGATTCAACTCGATAAAGTAGAGCGAGTTTTTAACAAAATCCACACCCGATCTAATTCGTCAATTACAAAAGCGGGTAAAATTTGTTCCCGACCTAAAATTCGTCAACACCGATACCGGGTCGGATTATTTTGAACACACATGAATTTGGGTTCAATTGTTATAAGAGGAAACATTTTACATATTTGATTAATGACCTTGTTCGGTTATTACAAAAAGGGTAAAATTCATTCACTGCCTGAAATTCGACAACACCAATACCAGGTCGAATTAGCTTGAACACACATGAAGTTGGATTCACTTGTCATAAGAGGAAATTTAAAAAAATATTAATTTAATTAATAAAAAATTCAACAATAAAACAAACCTAATAATTATCAAATTTGGCTCAATTATCATAAGCTAATTAATCAGAGTCTCAATGACATTTAAACCCCTCCACTCTCCCTTCCAAATTCTTTTCTTGTACTCTTCCCTCTCCAATCACATCATTCCTTATTTTCTTCCAATCCATGCCATCATTTCATCTCTTCTTCTTTCCAAACAATGTTATTGCGTCAGAAGAACAAGAAGAAGAAGAAGAAGAAGAAGAGCATTGCCGCCCCTTCCCTATGTTGCAATAACATCCCTTTGCCTTCCCTCTCTTTTCCTGACAAAGAAAGCCCCTGTCTGTCCATGACAAATCCTTCTTTCTCCCCTACTCTACCATCTCTCTGTATCATCTGACCACCACGTCGAATCAGCTTTCCTTCCTAGTTCCTATGGGTAATATGAAATAAACTTCTTTTTTTACCTTTGCACTGCCTGCCTGCCTGCCTGCCACCTTACACACTATAAAGTAAAAAGTAAAAATACAGACCCTTTATAGTGGTTTGGTTTCACGTCCATTTCACCCATCAGGCCATCACCCTCATCCAACCTTTCTCATCTCCTTACAAACATTTACCAACCGGCCCTTCCTGCAGCTCCTACATCTCCAACTTGTATGTACACACAAGTGGACTGCTGGGGTTCAAAGCTAAGTAGCTAACACTTTCTAGATGCAGTAATAGACTTGGAAAAGAAACTACTGTGATATATAGCTAATAAATTATAAATATATCACCTGTCCGAGATCGCTAGGAACTTTGCTCTACCTACATACAGGCTTGTATGCCTGAGCTCTTCGCTTCATCTATGTAATATATGGGTTAATTTAATTGTATTGTTGGTCACTGAAATTACAAAATACGTTTAAGTTTGGTCATTCGAAATATTTAAATTCATTGATGGTACTTCAGTTTACGCAAACCGTTCACGTTTGGTCACTCTCTGTCCAACTCCGTTAACTTTGATTGATGTGACAGTCAACTCTCAAAGTTGACCGTTAACTTAGTGACGTGGCAACTAAAAATTATTAAAAATAAAAAAATAAATTTTAATATTTTCCACCTCATTATTCCATTCATTAAAAAATAAAAAATAAAAAACCTAATTTCTTTTCCTTAATTTCAAACCGAATTCAACCCCTACGATGGTGGGCTGTTTAGTGTTTAGTGAAATGCATCTATCTATCTTCTATAAAAGATATAAGGGTGTGTTTGGATAGAATGATTTGTATTTTGTATTTGTGATATGGATTTCCAAATATCAAGTCGTGTGTTTGGATATTAATTACATTTTGGATTTGGATTTGGATTTGTGTCAAATTCATGGGATAATTTCCAAATACATGTCTAGTGTATTACTTGTCAACTTCAAATACATTTAAACAACTAGTGATTTGAAATATCTCCTAACAAAAGAGTGGACCTATTTGTAAAATATTAAAAGTTTAGGTACTATAGTGTGAGGCAAAACATATAAAGATACCAAAATGTAATTTTACCATCAAAATTTTAGGACTTTTTGTAAAATTCTGAAATTTTAGGTACTAAATTGTAAGAAAAAATAAATTTGGATATCAAACTGTATTTTACCAAAATTTGTAGTAAGTGATAAAAAATCAAAATCAAAATAAAAAATCATAAAATTTAAAATACAAACAAATTATAAGTATCCAAACATCGAATTTGAATTATATGCATTTCAAATGCTAGTAATTCAAATACATCTATTTCAAATACATATATTACAAATACCTTACATCTGAAATACATCTATCCAAACAGACCATAAAGAACTTTGAGATTTTGACCTCCACATAAGCGCTTCTGAAAATCTAACCTATCCAATATCCATGTCAGCCTAAAACCACTGTGCCCAAAGTTGCCTCCGACTCTCTCTCCATCATCTATCTATTTAAAAATCGGTCTTTTTACACCGTATGCCTCCACGTTTCGACATTTTCCTCTCACCGACTGTTCTTCTTCCCAAATCTGCAAAACTTTTCATCTCCGACGGTATCCGCAGCGAAAATATGTGCAACCTGAAACTACTGCCTTCGCCGCAATGAATCCCCGTCAATGATACCCACTTGACCGATGCTATTTCATCTGACAATCAACTCCTTCGATATCAACCATACTGTCTTGATTAATCCGAAGATTTGATAGTTTGGAGGGGGAATCGTACTGGATTCGGCACATCTGCGGGAGTTGAAAAGAGGCAACCGGTTGGCACATTTGCGGGGAATCGTACTGGAATCCATGCATACTTCTCTTCTTCTTTGATACAATGCTTTACATGGAATATTTGGAAAGAGGTTGCAGAGCATAGCAATGGGGAATAAATATAAGTTCTAATAGAATATGGGTTCCTTAGAAACTATTTTTTTTTAAGTACAGAACGATACATCAAATATAACTTGAGAATATGCATGGAAGCCATTGTAATGGCTAATTACATACTGCTACTTTTTAGCAATAATACCAAAAGAAGAGGAAATTGTTACCGACTTCTGACCTCTTAGATTTCAAGGGGATAAACTCCATGTTTTTACAGCTTGCAGGTTAGAAATTACTTGAAATTCCGGGTAAAAACCCCACAACTGAACTAGTTCGGAAAAGAAAGCAATGAATGATCCAAAGAAAAATCTTTATTTCCACCAAAGACTACTAATCACCCGGAAGTTTTCTTCTTCAAACGTATATGTAATTTTCATTGGTCGTATAGAGGTTGGTGATGTGGTAGTTAATCCTAATCATTTGGTCATTACTCACGAGGTTGAGTTAAAAGTTATTTATCATTACTATCAAACTAGTCCTATGGTGCGCCACATTAACAGTGAGTTACGGGGAAAATTAAACCGTTTTTGTATGTTATTCTAATTTAATCCAAATAATTATTAGATCACCCACTTAACAGTTAACAAGAATCCATATGATAGTCATGGAGAAGAAACCGTGGTAGTCAATAGTGAATCAACATAGAAATAGATGGGTGATCTAATAATTAAAATAAATGGAATAAATAGTAATTAAAATAAGAGATTTGTGTTGTACCCTGCTTGAATATATATTAAATATAAAATGTGGTATCATGGATCGGTTTGTATAATTTGGAGTTATAAGTTATAACCATTCAAATCCAAAGCCAATCATAAGGCTTTGATTTTCAACAATTGAAACATACACACACCTGTAAAATTAGATAGTCTCAAATATTACGAGTTGATCGGTTTGGATTGGACTAGTGATTCAGTTTTACGTTAGTATTGTTCACCCCTACTTATTTGATATTTATACCACAAAAAATATGAATACTTAGGCGTCGTTTAGAAGTTGTTATTTTAAATGGTGTATTGAGCTAATTTATGTATTTGTGAGATTAAATCATTTTTTGGTTTATATTGAACTAGAGGACACGTATTAACTTTTTGGAGGCCTCACTACTATCACTCGAAATTGAGGGATTATCAATCTCTGCTTTTTGTTGAGATTCTTCACAATCATTCAAAATTAACTTTTGTGGCTTTAGGATAAAAACACAATCTAAACCTCCAAACAAGTTCTTTACCTAATATATCAATTGATTGAATACATTAAATGATAATACACTATTGACTCAATAAATCAATTTGAAAAATCACAACTTCCAAAAGGGGAAAAATCCCAAAATACACATGTTTTTTTTTTAAATCACCAAAATACACACGTTTTATGAAAAATTTCAAATCTACACATGTTTGGACATAACCGCCGCCGCCAATCGCGGTAAAGGCATTCACCGCGGAAGACAAAAGCGGTGAATGCATCACCACGGCAAACAAAAGCGGTAAATGCATCACCACGGCAAACAAAAGCGGTGAAGGCTTCACTGCGTTTGTCGGCCGCGGTGAATGCCTAACCTAAAGCTGAAACTTAAAACGAACGTAACTTTGCGCTCGATTATCGGATCGTAGCGATTTTTTTTTTATTCCGCATAATTTTTTAAGATCTTCCAATCTTCAACTACACATTGATCATAACCATAATGTTGACGGCCGCAATAATGCTCAAACATGTGTAGATCGTGAATTTTTCATAAAATGTGTGTATTTTGATAATGTGTTTTAAACATATGCATTCAGAGAAAAAATCATTCCAAACGACTCTTAGTATTTGTCTCCTGGAGCCCAAGTTCAAGCTCATCTGTAACAAGAGCGGACTTTTACATAAACAAACCATGGCCCAAAGCCCAATTGACCCAAAACAGGCGCTAACGACAACATCGTTTGAACTCATTGTTCGCGGACGGCGGACCTTATTCTTCGGCGGAAGCAAGCCGTCATCTCACTAATATCCGGTGATGCAATTGCGACCAGCCATCCATGGCTAACAGCGGTGCCCAAATGTCGACCCCAATTAGAGCTCCGGCATGGGTCTCGACGAGAAGACTGTTCGAGCAAAAGTTGCAGGAGCTTCACAAATGTACAGACATAGCCCACGTAAAGCAGGTTCACGCCCAGATAATCAAGCAGAATCTCCACACAGACCTCTACGTAGCTCCAAAATTGATATCGGCATTCTCGCATTGTCATCACATGAAGCTCGCTCTCAACGTCTTCAACCAAGTTCGGCACCCCAATTTGCAACTCTACAACACTCTGATTCGAGCTCACGTCCGCAACTCCCAACCTTCCATGGCGTTCGCTGCTCTCCTCGAGATGCAGCAAAATGGAATGTTTCCTGATAATTTCACTTACCCTTTTCTTCTCAAAGCTTGTAATGGAGAGCCCTGGTTGCCGGTTGTGCAGATGATACAGGGTAGTTTGGAGAAGGTTGAATTTTTCGGTGATATTTTCGTGCCCAATTCGTTGATTGATAGCTACTCCAAGTGTGGTGCTTTGGGAATTCAGTCTGCGATGAGGTTGTTTAGGAGTATGGACAACAGAGATGTAGTTTCTTGGAATTCTATGATTGGTGGGCTGGTGAGAGCAGGGGATCTGGATGGTGCACGTGATCTGTTCGATGAAATGCCTGTGAGAGACGCGATTAGTTGGAACACGATACTAGATGCATATGTGAAGGCCGGAAAGATGAACGAAGCATTTGAGTTGTTTGAGAAAATGCCTGAAAGGAATGTTGTATCATGGTCCACGATGGTCTCAGGTTACAGTAAAGCAGGGGATATGCAAATGGCTAGAATGCTGTTTGATAAAATGCCGACCAAGAATATGGTTTCTTGGACTATACTCATATCTGGGTATGCCCAAAAGGGGCTGGGGCAGGATGCAGTAAGTTTGTATTCTCTAATGGCGAAATCTCGACTTATGCTTGATTCGGGGGCTGCTGTTAGTATACTGGCTGCTTGTGCAGAGTCTGGTTTGCTTGGACTGGGGGAACGAGTTCATGCCTCTATTGCAAGGACCAGACTAATGCACCATGCTGATGTGTCTAATGCATTGCTGGATATGTATGCAAAATGTGGGAGAGTAAAGAAGGCATATGAAGTGTTTGAGCGAATGGCAGAGAGAGATGTAGTTTCTTGGAACTGCATGCTTCAAGGGCTAGCCATACACGGGCATGGAGATGAAGCACTCATGCTCTTCTACAGAATGAAACAACAGGGTTTCAAGCCCGATAAATTCACTCTAGTAGCAGTTCTGTGTGCTTGTACTCACTCTGGCTTCATCGACGAGGGCCTCATGTACTTCCACAACATGGAGAAAGAGTACAGGATTGCTCCCGAAATCGAGCATTACGGTTGCGTGATTGACTTGTTGGGCCGTGCTGGACGTCTCAACGAAGCAATTAGGCTCGTGGATTCCATGCCGATGGGACCGAATGCTGTTATCTGGGGTACCCTTCTGGGGGCCTGCAGAATGCACAATGCTGCTGAACTTGCTAAGCAGGTTCAAGATCACATGGCGAGATTCGAGGAGGCATCAGAGCACGGTACTTGTTCGGTGCTGTCGAATATTTATGCTGCTGCCGGGGATTGGGTCAAGGTTGCTAATGTGAGGCTCCAAATGAAGAGTGCTGGAATCCAGAAGCCGTCTGGTGCCAGTTTCATTGAGGTGGGTGATAAAGTCCATGAATTCACTGTATTGGATAAGTCCCATCCGGACTCTGGTGAAGTGTATGAGATGGTTGATGGATTGGTTCAGGAACTTAGATTGTTTGGTGATCCCTCAAATGATCACCACCACATTTACTGAAGATACCCCATACTCTCTTTTCAGTTTTCGGTTTTCTTGTGTGTTGTCGATACATATTTAGGAACAACTAATGGAGTTGATATAGGAAAATCTGTCTTTAAGTGACAGAAAGGTAGCAAACCAAAAGGTAAAAGATGTACTATAAAAAAAAATGTGAAAAATGTAAATCTTCCCCAACCCAGTTGTTTAAGCGTCTCGCTAAGATGAAGGAGCAAATCGGTATAGTATCTATATATCACCTTCTGCTACAAATATTTTGATCACAATGGTATGAAAATTCCAGCATATAATATCACTCCAAAAGTGTACTATATTTGTCGACAATTGGCTAATATGGATAAAAATGGGGCAAGTTGAAGTTTTCTACGACCGTTTTTAATGATAAGATTAAAGATAACAGAAATGTCTAAATAAGATTTGTTCAAATAAGACTAATTACATGTGTTTTTCGATAAACTTCGTTTAAATATGAAATAACTCTACTTGCACTATCCTCTCTTTCTATACTATCATATTATTGAGTTGTTTCTCAAGAAAAGTGTAATCAATGTTGGAATCTCACCTTTATCCTCCTAATCCCTCTCCTTTTGGAATAAGAACAGTTTTAACTTTTAACTTCTGCAACTATCAGTGAACAAGAGAAGGAAGATTGCCCTTTTCTAGGCTAGCAGTTGGCGGACCCATAAATTTTATATATGAGTGTCTTCTTTCAAAAAATAAAATAAAATAAAAATAATTAATAATTCATTAAAATTATATTATTTTTTAGTAAGAAAATACCCAACTCGTACAAGTTAAAAAAAGTCAATGATGTATTTTCATATTCTAAAAAAATTATAAAAAATACTTGGTGTCTACACTGCTAAACAAATTTGTCTCGGTATATCCTACTAGACAATCATTCACGAACTGACGCATATTTGATTTCTAAATTTGTTCATGATGTAACTCAAAGCTGAAAAAACACTTTCAACACTTATCGTACAACCATAAAATCAATACAAATTAAGAGTAGCTTGTAATTAGATTAATTGTTAGGTTTTGAAAATAATTAAAGATACAATAATAGGGTTTTGCTATTACATAGTGTTTAGAATATAACAACAAAAAAGTTGTAGCCTAATGGAAATTATATTTATTAGTAATAGTAGTGTCCCGGGTTTGAATTACCCAAACTACCACTTATATTCTCATACGCAAACTACAAACGAGAGTAGTATAATCGTTTTCAAATTTTAGAATGTCCCAGACTATTAGTTATAATTTTTTTGTCTATACGTAAATTATCATCGGGGGTTGGATAATCGATCTTCCAAAATTTAGTGGTTTCCCGGGACACGCCTAAATGCCCATGGTCCGCTGGCACAGCTGGTCATATGGGATTTGGTGGATAATTGCTGTTGGTGTGTGTGGTAGAGAATAGAGATCGTGATAGAAGTTTGATTGGGGTAGCTCAAAATCGTTGATGGAGCTTTTTGTTCGCTCAAGGAAAGTGATATTTGAGACTTAATATGTAGTTTCGAGCTATAGGATAAATTGGGGTGCCATTATTTCTGGCTAGTTGTTTGCTGACCAGTTCAGTTTAGTAGGCTTATGTCCCCATCCAAGAAAAGTTAGTAATTTCCCCTAAATAATTGTGTTGCACTGTTCACTTAGCCGTAAAAGAGGAAGAAAAGGGTAAGAACTAGAGGTGGCAATTTCAATCTAATCCACCAATCCATCAATCTATTAAAAATATCCACCTAATCCAATCCATTTGATCCAAATCCAATTGGATTGGTGGATTCATGGATTGGATCCATGGATCATTGGCAAATTACGGTTTAGTACCTATAATTTTTATTTTTTACATTTTGGTACCTAAAATTTAATTTTTTATATGAAAAATATCATTGGAAAATTATGTTTTGGTACCTAAAATTTTTCATTGTGACATTTTAGTGCCTAAACTTTTTATATTTTACATATTGGTCCTTGGTTGAGGATGTCATTTGGATTCATGGATAATCCACCAATCCACTTGATCCAATCCATGAATCCACCAATCCATTTGATCCATGGATCCACCAATCCAATCCACCAATCCAATCCATTTGCCACCTCTAGTAAGAACAGTAGAACAAAGAAAAGGATGGAAGAAGACCAGACCAAAATTCATGCAAATCAACCTTGTTCTTTGGTTTACATGTCAAAATCAATGTTAATAATGGTAAGGGCACAGTTATACAGTTTTTCCTTGCTTAAGATAGATAGAGTATTTAGTTTTTGACAATGTTTGGGTCGATATACGGAGTGGGTTAAGGTGCCAATTTCAAGAGGAGTGGTCACTGCAACCACCCTCAAATTTTGGGCCTACCTATTCCGCTACTGAACTAGTTGCTCACCCCTACATATGGGTACTCCAGCAACTGCGATGCAACTATCTCGTCCTTGTCAATGTATACAATGGATGGTCTACAATCCTACATATAGATCATCTCTCGATCATAAAGAATGGATGGTCTACAGACTACAATTGTACAATGGATCGATCAGAGATAACCTAGATAGTTGTGGAACCGATCCAGCTCTCAAACAGATTTCACTTTTATCTTAGCAAAGGGCCGAGAAAGATATGGCTCCCAACATAGAGAAATATTGGTACATTTTACGGATATAGTCCAAGCTCTAAGAATGTGATACATTTTATGTAAAAAAAAAAACATAACTACTAGAGAAATATTGGAGGAGAAAAATGCTCCACGCAAGAAAGAATTTTCCAATTATCTTTTTTTATGTGGACATTGTGCTTACTTCCATGGCTACCCATCAAATTGGCCTGCTTCAGCATGGGCTTCCTTTGTTTGGTGGCACACTTTAGTCTTGTTGGCAGAATGTGATTGGCCATTTCAAGTATAATGGATGGGGATCTCTCTACAGTCTACTCCCTCCAAGTATTATACGGTATAAGTATTTTACTCTTGCTTTCTACACTACAAGGGATAAAGTGACTCACTGAGTGACTTCATGTGGTTCTCAATAATCCCGACATTCTCTATATATACTTCTCTCGAACCCACCCATTTCAGACAGACAAAAACAGACCAGGAAAAAAACCTTGGATAATCATGGATGCCAATTGCTTCCTCAGTTCCTCAAATCCACTCACCAAAACTGCTGCACTAGAATTCCCCTGTTCAAGAAGATGCTCCAATGGATCACCCTTTCAACCCAAAAGAGTTCGCCTTTCCTCCTCCATTACATGTTGGTTTCTCAACCGACTTCCACTATCCCCTTATCGCCTTCGATTTCGTCATTCAGTTGATTGTTTGCCGCCCAAGTTTTGATTTTTATTAATGTATTGCAAATGGGTAATGCGTAACAGGTTGCCAACCGGCGGGATCGTCCGACGATCTGCAGCAGCACAGCCAGTCCTTCCTTCAGGCGGATTGGAGATGGTTCAGGGCAAAATTGGTTGCTAACGAGCAAGCCTTTATGACCGCGAGCACCGGTCAAAGCTTGCTGGCGGCAGATCCAGACGAGACCCCTAGAGCAAAACAGCCGCTGGAGCTGGTGAAGGTGGGAGACAGATGGGCCCACGCGATTCACGAGCCGGAAAAGGGGTGCCTGCTCATCGCAACGGAGAAGCTGGACGGGGTCCACATCTTCGAACGGACGGTGGTCCTTCTCCTGTCAACGGGCCCGGCCGGCCCATTGGGCATTATCCTCAACCGCCCGTCCCTCATGTCCATCAAGGAGATGCGAAACGCCGCAACGACGTCGTCCTCTCTGTCTGTGATGCCTCCGGAAGCGTTCTCGGGCCGGCCGTTGTTCTTTGGGGGCCCATTGGAGGAAGGCCTGTTTCTGGTGAGGCCCAGAGGAGGGTACGACAAGGACAGGCTGGCGAGGAGTGGGGTATTCGAGGAGGTGATGAAAGGGTTGTACTACGGGACAAAGGAGACGGCCGGGTGCGCGGCGGAGATGGTGAAGAGGAATATGGTCGGCGTCGGAGATTTCAGATTCTTCGACGGGTATTGCGGTTGGGAGACGGAGCAGTTGAGGGATGAGATTAATGCTGGGTATTGGACTTTGGCGGCTTGTAGCGCGAGTGTTATTGGGCTGGATAAGGAGGCTCGTTTTGGGCTTTGGGAGGATGTATCCTGGCTTGTCGGCCCAAAAGCGGTGTCCTGACCAGAGAGATTACTGTACTGGAATTTGTATATGAGTTCTTTCTTTTTTACCCCCTTCCCTTCTTTAGTTAACTAGCTTTTTTTGATTGTTTGTGTGAGTGTTGTTTGTTATGTGAGGATTGAATTATATATTTCCTATATCGTTTTGTATATTCTAAGTTGTCAGTTTTTGTGCGCTATTTTCTTTACTAATTAATCTTTTTGTCGTAAGACATTATGTATCATTTCTTGTATGCGATTAGCTTGTGTTTCTTTCAAGATTTGTTTCATGCTTTTGTAGATGTTTTGCCTTTGTTGTACAGGTTTTAATGATATGAAATATTGAGATGAGATTTGTGGGCAAACCATTTACTCATATTTACTTGTAGATGGTAAAAGTAGCAGATGACAATGAACCACAGAAAGAAAGGGAGATGATATGTACTTTTCACTAAATGTATTCTCTTTAGCCTCTAATATTTCTTGAAAATCAAAACTTAAAAATTGGTTTACCTAAAGAGACATTTTTATGACGACTAAATGTGATAACGGTTTCTAGTTTCTCTTATGTGTTCTATCACCTCAAGATGATTGAAGTTTGCTTAGCATCCCCTATGACCCACAACTCACTTGCAAATGAAATTCACATAAATCTTATACACAACTAACGCTATTAAAGTGGTTGTTGTTAGGAGTGGGAAATGGGTTGGTCTATACTGGACCACACCGAACCGAATCGATGTTTTGATCGGATCACACCTAGTCGAATATAATATGGTCCGGTCTTTCGTCCTATGAACTTTATAAATACTGAAGAAAAATTAATCAAATTAACATTTGGATCGGACCAAATATACTATTGGTCCGGTCATTAATCCTAAGATATTTTTCACTATTGAACAGCGGTTCCGCTAAATTTGGTTGGATCCGATCCGGACCGGACCAATGCCCTCCCCTACTTGTTGCAAGCCAATGCACATGATATTAAATACGTAATTCAAGAATAGTATTTAATTATTTATCATAATGTCTAAACATACAAATTAACCTGATTTTTGGTTGGTTAAATATGTTCAGTCATTCTTCTCGTCTTCCCCTCCCGCTTCATGACAATTTTTAGATTTAGATTTGCGTTGATGAGTTCCCTATCACTATGGACCGCTCACAAACATTAGATTTAAGTCATTATTCATCCTAGCTAGCTACCACTGTGGCCTCTTGTTGGCTTTGCCAATTAATTACCTTCCCAAGCTCCTTGGATAACTAAACGTTTTCTCGGAGAATGATGAAAAGGAGAAGGCATTTCAATTTCCCTACATAGAGCTGATTAACTCCTACGGTATAGGCCTAGGCGCCTTTCACATTGGAATACATCTTCTCCCCCATTGCCCTCAACAGTCACTTTACAACTTTGGAACAACAGAAGAGAAAACCAGGTGGCATAAAGAGAACACCCAGAAAGAAAGTCTGGTGCCAACCAAGGATCGGAAGAAGAAAATAATGTCGGACAACATTCCATCTGGAGTCATGACAGAAATTCTGGGCCGACTCAGCTGGTGCGAGCTAAATTTGCAGGCTGCGGTGCGTGTGCAAAGAATGGCGGTCCATCATAGATGAACCCAGTTTCATCCAACGCCAACTCAAGCGCTCTACTTCTCTGTTCCTCCGTGTACAAAAAGACTATAGATGCTACGTTTCCTATGGCTTCCAACCTGGAACTTTCTGTCCCGACAGACTAGAACAAGGTTGGCATGGACGCTATGTCTATAGTGTCATGGGTTCATGCCACGGCTTGGTCTGCCTAGCTGATTTCGAGAACCAACTCCGGCTGGTTAATCCAGTGTTTCCGGAGGAGAAACAATCTGTGACGCTGGAACATCTCATGACGAGAGATCCATTGCTCTCAACCCATGATGTGTACTTCGATGCTAATTACTTTGATATTGATGAGGACTACTTGCTTTCTTCAGTAGAGTGGGCTGGTTATGGTTTCGGATACGATGAGGTAGCTCGCGACTACAAAGCCGTTATACTGCTCACAGCAGGGTCTGAGGAATATCATGACATGAAGTCCTACATTTTAACTTATAGCTTCAGGACCAGATCCTTTAGCGTCTGTCACGCTAATCGTAACTGGAATCGTTCTGCCATAAAAAATCAGGAAATGGGTGTGCTTCTCGGCGGGTCTCTGCATTGGATTTTGGAGCCACATGTGATCCACTCGTATGATCTTGGTTCTGATGTGTTTGGTAAAATCCAGCAGCCAAAGTACACAGCACATGGAGTATCCTCCTCCTCTTCCTCCATTGTGAAGGTCGGCGTAGGGGTTGTGGATTCGTGCTTGTGCGTTTGTGCTACTTATGGTAAAGGGAGTGCTAGTATGGCTGGAGGACGGGTTGATGTTTGGGTGATGAAAGAATACGGGAATGAGGACTCTTGGTGCATTCTCTATTCTGTAGTCGATAAAATTCCTGTTTTCGACCAACCTCAGTTCGTTCGTAGTTTGGGGATGTTGGATGGTTGGATTCTGATGCTGGTAGATGGTACTGGACTTTCTTGGGTTGATCCAAGGAATGGGAGGGTTGAGGTTTTTCCCATTCCTGGTTTTACTTGTTGATTATATTGTAGTCTTGTGTTATGTAATGTAGCTGTAGGTAGTGTCCACGTGATAGCCCAATAGATCATTAAAGCCCATGCAGCCCATGATCATTAGGAAGGTGAACGTAGTAACCTAATGGTTCTAGGGTTCGGCTAGGTTTGAGATATAAAAGCTTGTTCAGCCGTTCTTGTAAGCTGATCAATCTTTCCGACGAATAATCAATACATCAGTAGCTGAGGAGCTTCATACTCCTCCGTGGATTAGTCCTGGATCATCCAGGGATACCACGTAAATCGTGTTTGTCATTTCCGTTACTGTCTAAATTATCAACATGGTATCAGAGCCATCACAAGTCGATTCTGCGAGACCTTCGGTGCGTCTCACGTCAACAAATTTTGCACTGTGGGAATTTCAATTCCGAGTGTTCGTGGAAGGAAGGGGTTTGCTGGGAATACTGGACGGAACACAGCAGCAGCCGACTGCTGGCACGGTAACTGCACAAGAACGTGCCCTATGGAACCAGAATGACGCGCGGGTGCGTTCTTGGCTACTGGACAGCGTTGATGCTTCGACCTGTCTGAGCTTGAGACTATTTCCGACTGCCAACAGGATGTGGAGACACTTGACGGCTCTGTATTCGACGGTCAATCCAGCCCGTCAGTTTGAGATACAAATGTCCATTGCTCGCCTGGAGCAAGGAGATAAATCAGTGACTGAATACTTTAACCAAGCTCAAGAATTGTGGACTGAACAAGATCTAATTCAAGCAGCCCTTCGGCCACAAGCTGTGATTTCCGATGATGCTATTGAAGAAAGGCAGCGTACCCGGATCTTGGAGTTTTTGATGCGGTTGAGGCCAGAATTTGAGGGAGTTCGCTCGGCATTGCTCAATAAGGAGGTTCTGAAATTTGATGGAGTGCTGGCCACTCTTGTTCGAGAGGAGACCAGGATGAGAACTCAGGCGTTGATTGATCAACGACCAGGAGAGGGTGAAACACTTGTAGCAGCAGCTGCTGCCGTACCTAGAAACTCTGGATCAAGCTCGTTTGCCTATGCTGTCGAGCGACCACAATTCCAAAGGCGCCTGCCCGCGAATGAATTAGAATGTCATCACTGCCGGGAGAGAGGTCACCTGCAAAAGCATTGCAAACGTCGGAACTTCTGTGTATATTGTAAGCGGATGGGGCACATTGTTCTGGAGTGCAGGTCGCGAGAAAGAAATGAAGCGCGCTGGGCTTCTCCTCAAGCGGCTGGAGGTTCTCGAGGTGGACGACACAACAACCGCCAAGGAACTGCTGGTCCACGTCCTGGGTATGGAGATCAATCTGCCTATGGAACTTTTATGCCTAACAATAATGCCAATTGGGCTTCAGATGGGCGTCCATATAATGGGTCACAATTTCATGAAAATGGCACCCCTCGTGTGGAAGCTGGGAACAACACAGGGATGTCAGCCGACGCGGTGGAGCAGATGGTAAATGCAGCTTTGCAGCGCTCGCTTCCAACCGCCATTAGTGCAGCTTTTGCAACTCTACAAGGATCAGGTAATTCGACACCATGGCTCCTGGATAGTGCTTGTTTTAACCATATGACGCGAAATTCAGAAGTTTTAAAGAATATGGAACCGGTTAAAGAAATGGAATTGACAGTAGCTAATGGTGAAAAGTTAGTCGTACGTGGAGTAGGCAATGTTATGACTAATTCCATTTCTTTAAACAATACCTTGCATGTTCCTCAACTTATTCCCAATCTAGTTTCAGTTGGACAACTTACTGAGCAGGGTTATTCTGTGGTATTTGCTCCGTCTGGGTGTATTGTACAGGATTCGAAGACGGGGAGGCCAATCGGAAGGGGGAGTAAGCGAGGCCGGTTATTTCATTTAGAGGAATTGAATGGGCAATCCGTTTCGTCAAACGTTAGTAGTCATGATCATAGGTCTGTCAGTAGTCTGTTTTCCGTGTTTTCAAGTATTTCGAATAATGTATGGGATCTTTGGCATTATCGGCTAGGGCATCCTCATACAAGTCGGCTGTCTCTCATGTTTCAAAAGTCACTTCTTGGCAAAAACAATGTTGGGATTACAGGTTCTCATTCTTGTAAAAGCTGTGTAGAAGCAAAGACTGTCAGTGTTTCTTTTCCTTCTAGCGTCACTGTTATAAAAGACCCATTTCACCTTGTCCATACTGATCTCTGGGGTCCCTCTCCTACCCTTAGTAGACATGGTTTTCGGTATTTTGCATTATTCATAGACCATGCTACTCGTTTTACCTGGATATATTTTCTCCGTCTCAAATCCGAACTTCGTGCTGTTGCCATTGAGTTTCTAAATATGATTCAGACCCAGTTTGGTCGTACAGTCAAAATAATACGTTCCGATCCTGGAGGAGAATTTAGTTCCTTTCCTTTGCGTGATGTGTACCGGG